TACCGGTACAAGTTTAACAAACATGAGTAATAAACAAATTACATGCCAATAGCATCGCTTTATCTCCTTCATTTTTGTTTGAAATAGAAAAGTACTTTAACGGTCAAACTCATTAGTCCAAGGCAATAACAAAAAGTACCTAATAACTACGGCGATAGAATTTAATTACATGTGCTTCGATATTAAAATTAAAAAGTTTAAATATCAAAAAAAAAATAGTGGCTTGGGATTTGAACCGCCGACCTTACGTACAAACGGCGGCGAACGGTAAGGCCACGAGACCAAACTAGCATATATGATGACAAACTTAAATTTGATGTTGGTTTTATCTACCTAATATCTGTCATCCGCATCGAACACTTTTAGTAAATTTTGAAAAATGGTTTGATGCAAAGTGTCAAATGAATGTAACAGAAGTAGTTTATTCCAAATTGTATCACAAGTATATAGAGATAGAGTTCAATTTTGTCAAATGTACCGATATTTTTGCGCACCTTGACTGCTTCGTTACTTATGACGCTGTGGCTGCTACGATATTTATGAGCATCTTGCATGTACTCATATATTTGACGCTGTGTATGTACCGATGTTTTTGAGCAGGGTGAATGTATCTATTATTTTGAATACTTTTGTTGTACCGATATAATTGATTACTTTTGATGTACCTATATATTTGCATATCTTATCTGTGACGATCTATATGACGCTGACTGTACATTTGAGAGAGATAACGCTATACAAAGCTGAACAACAAATGGACTGGCTATGAGATGTGGTATTTTGTGCCAATTTGATTATCGCCATTTCTGCGCAGTTTCTAGCAGTGGTGTGAATTCGAACTAATCATATAGATAGAATTAACTACGTAAAAAAAAAGCGGGGCTAAAAAAATGCATTCGTCGCAAAGCGATTCCATAACGAATTTTAAAAATATATAAAACTGACAGTTAGTCTCGATAAGTCACGTGATTGTCACGCTTCAGTTCCATACATTTTTGAAATACGTTATGGAAACGCTTCGGAGCGAATGCACTTTGTCTAGCCCTAGAACGAAACAAAAGCTATCAATTCTAAGCAATAGTCTTATAGAAATGAGTGACAAAGCTGAAATAATTTTTCGATGTGAATATCATACCTGTTTGACAGCTTTATCATTGTGATTTGTGTTTGTGTCGCCATTAGCGTTAGCGGCCGCTGCATTGGCGGCAGAATCTCGCGCTACACGTTTCACCTGAATAAAGAGTTTTATGCTTATTAAATCATATTAATTATCTTGCAAATACAGCCGAACCTGGACAAACGAAAGTGTAGTAATTTTATACATTTTCTGGACTTCATTTTCACATCTAGAAGTATGCTATAATAAAAATAAATTAACAAAAAAATTACCATAAATAATGTAAAACAGAATATCGTAAATTTCTCGGATAGACTGTCATAGCTATAAAGTATGTACAGTCGAAAATAAACCAAAAACCTTTATTAGCGAGAATCTTGGATAAGGTCAGACTTTTATAAGCAAGTAAAATGTCGTGGTCCCTTATTCTCGCTTATCTACGTTCTACTGTATTTATAATTATTTAGCCTACACTTTCTTATGTTTATCTATATCACACTAGTTGTCGATGGCGACTTCGTTCATGGAATGAAAAAAAAAAGAAATTCTCACCTTTTAAACCTTCCGTAGACTTCCATGAACATTTCAAGACCAAGATAAGATAAATCTGATCAGCCGTTCTCGAGTTTTAGCGAGACTAACGAACAGCAACTGATTTTTATATATATAGATTAGACTCACCATATCATCTAGGTAATCTGGCAATCGTCCTATAGGGTTGTTGGTGTGCACAAAGAAGTGCGGCGAGCGACGCGCCAGCAGCCGCAGTGCGCGCCACCCCCACCCCCCACTGGTAGTACGACGCGCACCCCCCGCACCACCCTCAGATAACATGTACGACTCTAAACACATAGTAAACATAAAAAATGCAAATAAGCAATTGCTTCATCATGTTGGTGGAACAGATCTGAGGAACACAAACCCCCTAAAAATTATTGGGGGGGGGGGGGTTTGAGATCATCATACAATTTTCTTTTGAGTTCCAATGTAACAATAGAAAGTTGATATAAATAAATGTAATTTATCTTGAGAACTTATTAAGAAATCAGTCTGTACGGAATTAAAAAAAAAATATTGGTCGCTAACTTTATAAATGGACTATCCAACAAAAAAGAATTTTCAAATCGGACCAGTAGTTTGTGAGATTCGCCCGTTAAGGACTTAAGGAATCTGAAAGATCAAAACCTCGATTATTTAATATTAGAAAGCACATATTAATACCACATACCTAATGAAGGCATAAAATCTCTTTCCTTGGTCCGACATGCCACTAAATTATCCGGACACAGATTCCATAATTTTGTAAGTTCATTACTGGAAAAAATAATTAGACAATAAACAATGAATGCATGTCTGCAAACTTTTTAGACTATAAACTTATTTTATTACAAACTAGGTGAAGAACGCGACTTCGTCCGCGCGGAATTAAAGATAAAACTTTGTTATAGGAGCCTATGTGTTCTTCCAGACTATAATCTACATGTATGCAAAATTTCAGAGGCCCATGCAGTAGTTCTGGAGATATGTTCTAACAAACATCCATCCATCCAAACATTTGCATTTATAAATTAGTAAGATACATACTTGCCCATGTAGAATTTATCTTGATTTCTATATTCATTAATTATATCACCAACTGGTCTTCTCCTTTTTCTTGTCTTTTTAACTTCATCAGAGTCAACTGAAACCGGAGCTTTTGGCTTTTGAAATTCTAAAAAAAAACATAATAATTCATTAATTGTATATAAAAACTAAAGAACTGCAACAAAAAAATAATAATCTTAGTATTTTTTACCTGGACAGCCATCATTCTTCCAACTGTTCCAATACTCTTCTCTGTGTAATATACATTTGACACATTCAGCAAACTTCTTCCCGTCTGGTGGTGTCTCTCCTAGCAAACGGTAGATCAAGGCTGTTGTCTCCTTGATCCAATCTACTTGTACCGATTTTAATTCTTGAGCTTCCCTGCAATTGAATACAAAGACATTACAAGATAAGTACCGCAAAGACAAGAATAAAAACCAATTTCCACTTAGAGATTAGCAAATGAGTTTTTAAATTTTAAATAGGACTAATGTTATTTTGTATGTCTTGCAGTTGCACCAGTGGAAATAAGACCGACAACTATGTACAAATGATGAGTATATGCTGCCGCCTTCTTAGTGGAAATAGGCACTAAGAAATATAGAATAAAAAGTATCTCTCTTGTTCATAAGTTAAAAGTTGATTATTGTTAATTGTTATCAACCACCACAAAGATCGACCTGCTATTGGTGACCGATAAAAAAATAAAAAAAAAACACAAATAGAATTTCAGAGTATTCAAAGTCTTACTTACATTTTAAATTTCACAGCAGATGTTAAATATTGAAACAATATCAAAAATTGTATGAGTACACATCTCCTGAAATTAGAATCGGACAATTGTAATTCAAGGAGTTTCTGATTTGTTAAAAACTTTGCAAAGTAGTGCTGCTCTTTATTTGATTCTTGCATTTCAACATCCGAGTTGACTGCCTTTAGTCTGTTTAGTTTAGACTTTTGTAATTCCACAGCCTCAAGTTTGTATGATGAGAAAGCTGCTAAAACACTACCTGAATGCTGAAAAGAATAAATACTGAGTTGTTAAACAAAAACTACAGAGCTTATCTGACTCTACATCTTTGGTTTGCTTAATCTTCAAAGTAATGAAGGTTGGATAGCCAACAAATCATTATTACCACTCCTCCTGATGAAGGCTCGAAACTAGTCTGTGCCGCCACCGGACAAATATATGTGAGTGTTTAGCCGTTTTTACATCAGTTTAGTGTAATGTCTCACAAAAGTTTGAATAAATCATTATTTGTAATAAAAACAATAATCTATAGAGGTGATTAAATATTATAGCTTAATATGGTAGAAAATAATTATGTAACTTACAGCAACAAAAGTCTTCCACTGAATCTTATTGTAACATGTATTAGGATTTCTGAAGAAGTCTTGGAGACTCCAAAAACGACAATACAAGCTGTAATCTATAGTCAGTTTAGAATTATCTTCATCTACTACCATTTCTTCATCTAAAGCATCTTTTAATGTGCTTGAATTATCACCTCCAAATTCTGTGACATTCTCCAAGTTAAACTCCGATACTATGTTCAGACCAGATCTCTCCGAAAACGGAAAGAACTTAGCTAAAAACAATAATATCCTTCCACAAAAAACAGTGTTTTGAGAACGTGATAACCGCCGTAACAAGTCGTTGCACATCCTGAGTAAATTATTTTTGCAAGCAACAAAGAACAATTCTTCTTTCCATATGTTAACTCCTTTTTCTACATACTCAAACAACTTCTCACATTTATTTAAAGTTAAAGCATCGAAAATATCGCCTAATAGGACAACAGGCATGGTAGGAGTTACCATGTGCCTTCTACAGGATTCTATGCAAAAAGAAACGTAGCTTTCTAGGGTGTCAGGGTTCTCGATTAGAAGCTCTAAAAGTTTATCCCGAAATGCTTGATCCATTGCCGCTTTTCTGTCAACTTCATTTGTATTTTTAGAGAAGGAATCTAAGAGATCAATGTTGTTTGTTGAAAATGCTTTGGATAATATATCCTGAAAAATAAGAGGAAATTATCAAACAATAAGTATTTGAAAATAGTTTATATATCTGTAGGTTAGAAAATTACCTTGTACTTTAACCGAAGTTCCTCGAACCCTAACTTATCAGACATGATTTCGTTATATGTATTTCATTAATGTGGACAGACAATGTTACGATCACTCACTCTCTTACTTGAGTTTAATTATGTTTATTTTCAATTTAATAAACCGATATTTTTATCAAACTGCAAACTAAAACACAGAGTAAACAGATACACCGATGTGTTTACAGTTTACCATACATTCCAATACATTCCTGCGATGAATCGTGTAAGCAATTTTATTTTAGTACAGAACAAAGACTAAGTTCTATTATGCACATGTTTTTGTATTTTTTATGATGATGATTATATATGATGATAATTTTGGCTAGTCAAATTAAAATTTAAATATAATTTTAAAGTAAATGTTAATTTTTTATAACTAGCAACTTTTTTTTAATTTCTGCATCTACATTTACATTATATTTTTTAACGCATCCATTGGTTACATTTATTGAAGAAACTGCAACAAGCATCAGCTATTGGTTTATTTTCAACAAGAATTTCCCAACAGCCAATAGAGAAAACGCGCGCAAAGGCAGCTGTCTATTGTTGACATATGTATAACTATTAATTATATGATGTTGTCGTGTCTTCTGTGTAGCGTCCCGTCTATTTATCTTTCTTTATAAAAACTAGTTTTAGGTCAAATCCTCTTAGATATAAGTGTAAATTACGAGTTATTAGTAATTAAAATAAAATAATTAAAGTACAAGGTTAAGAGGCAGCAGAGGTGATTTCAAATTCTAACATGGATAGAAATATGAGGTAAGGTTTATTGTCCTTTCGCTTACCATGTCACACTTTCACATCTAATACAGATTTTGAAAACAAACAGAAGGCAATTGCTTTGTTTTATATGTTGTCCACGTGTCATTAATTTTTATTCAGATAACCGTTAAAACATTTTTCTTAACTTGACACGTTATCGAGCGTCATTGTAATCACTTTTGTATTTTGTCTAGTTAGCAAGTATTGCGCATGCATTTTTGATTATTATTTCACTGTGTAACTTCCTTATTCGATTTGATTGCTTTATAATAACTGATTCTAGTGTCGTTTAGATCATATTTATCGATATTTTTATCTCCCGCACTTTTTCCTGTGGAAAGAAATTAGCATTCATATTCCGCGTTGCGTTTTACTTTTGAATATTGTTGACATGAAATTAGGAGGAAAAATAAAATAAAATTTTAAAGATTATACCAACAAATAATAAATGTGTGTAAAGTTGTTGTCAATAGTACATACAATCTTTCATACATTTTTATGCTATTTAACATTTATTTTTAAATATTTTACAAAGATTTGAGGTCTTAAAGCAAACTGTTTTTTTTTTCTAAATTCAGATTATGCAATCATCTTTAACAGGGTTTATATCTACTATAAAATATAATGAAAGTTAACATGTTGTTCTTATTATAGTAATAAAATTCCAGATCAAGTTATGTGAACAGCGGGCCAAGATCTTTGCCGCACATGGGCGGAGGCAAAAGACAGAATATCAATGGACACAATGGAGCGCGTCTCAGTCCCCCAGCACAGATGCCTCCTGGACAATTACACAATAATAATAATAACAATCAACATGATGATCTCATAAATTATATCTATGATTCTTGGAATAAGGTATGGTCTATATTGTCTGTGAACTATCATTGTTGTGGTTAAACTAAGATTTACTGACTCAGATATCTATTACGGTTATATTCCATTCATATAAGATTTAATTTTTTTTATCCTATTCTCATTGTATTTGTCACCATCCAATTGTCAATGCCATTTGTTAATATTCAGCCAAAGTATAAAAAAAAATTGTTGAAAAAATGACTTTATATTTTTATTTATATGTTAAATCGGTACAGTCAGTCGAGCTTAACTTCAATTAACTGACAAATTTGTTCACTGACAAGTTCAAGTCTAACCTAAGTTAAGGGGGAATAGGTCATGGCTGGCCCAGTGTGGATTGGTTAAATCGCATCTTTGAATTTTTATGCAGATTATGTGCATGTTGTATTACAATGTTTTCCTTTACTGTAGAATTTTGGATAAATGTACCCTTGGGTAATATTTTTCAAATATCTTGGTAGCCCAAGGTCATCAGCACACTGCAGTGTCCTACCCCGCATTCCTCTCTTGCTACACTTAACATTGTTCCAAGCAGCAACTCACTAGAAGATAAGAGCCATTAAGATATTTGAAATGACTTATACAAATCATATCAAGTGCTTTAATTTAATTTGTCATTAAATCATGTTGAACAATAAATTTTCAGGTGACACGTGAACTAGAGCGAGGCAATGAAGACGCTAGGTACTACCAAGAGGTGCTGGCGCCACGACAACTGGCTAACTTCAGACCATTCAACTTGGAGGAGTGGTGGGGCAGACGGCTCGTGCAGACAATAAATCGCAACAAGCATCGCTCCTAGTTAGCGACTGAATCATATGAAATACTATCTCATTGCAACATTATTTAAGGTATGAAAAATGTAAGAACTCAAGATATGACAGTGTAATGATTGTCCCAAAATATAACAACCAACTGAATATTTAATTTATCTAGTAATTTTTTCTTTAGTAATAATAATTATAAAATAAATCTTTATTTAAAAAAAAATTATTAAATGACAAATAAAAAAAAAATTATAATTTTTTTACTTTAAATCTAACGTATAGATTTGTGAAGCCATTTTGGAAGAGATTTTACGAAGAAATTATTATAATTTACAAAACAGTGCTTTGAATCTGTTCGCTACGGCTTTAACATCATACTGTATATCTTGAGTGGTGAAATTTTTAAATTGTTATATGTACAACATTTATATACTAAGAAAGTTGAAATATGTAATCATTAAAATATAAGTAGAAATTATATATGAAGATTTTTTCTAAAATTAGATCGTAACAATAGTTTTTTAATAAACTGTGCAATTCTACAGCCATACTTGTATTGAAACATGTTTTTATCTGAGAGACAGAAAAGGACGAAATGTTTTTATACAAGTATTTCGGCAATGGAAACCCACAGTAAGATGTTGATAGAATAGAAGGGACGATAAGTCAATTAATATCACATCTTTAGATTTAAATAATATATACCAAAACTTTTTTGAATTATATCATAAGTATGTTAAAGATGTTGCAATGAGATATGCATAAGACATTAAATGATCATTTAGCTGTCCCTTAGTGTAGATAATTTATACTCAATCTCCGCTAATGGACCTAATTGATCCTTTATTGGCTTTTAATGTAGTTTTTAGTGTGATAATTTTATGACATCTCTGAAAATCAATGCTCCCGTACTTTGTATTATGGTACAAACAACAAGACAGACAACATTTACAAATATATTAATAAATCGATGTCGAAATAAGTGGCATTTAAAATAATTTTGAAAGATATAAAAGCAATAATAATTAAATTTTTAACATTTAATAGAATATTTTTGAATATATAAGTAAAAATAGTAGCCTTTCTAACTCAATAGTTTATATTCTGTAAAAAAAGGTTCAAAAAAGTGATTTTTGAGTAGAAAATAGATTCACACAAAGATATTTTACTAAGTAGGCATTGTATAAAGTTAGTCTGAATTTCTATTATTATAAAAAGTAAGATAATGTTTTAATGAGTAGTATCAGCTAGTGTTTTGCGTTTAATCATGACTCGATTTTATATTTTATCGTAAGTAGAGATGACCGATGTTGTATATATCGATAATTTCATTTCCAGACCTAAATCACACAATTTGATTCGTATTAGCATTTCATTAATGTGACTATAGAATTTAAACATTTATTGCAGACTTAATACATAAAAATAATAGCATTTTACGTGTTTAAAACTAAAAAAAAACTATGTTTTTTATGTTCTGACGTAACAAAAGTATCGATATATTACGATGTTATCTATTATAAGTCAAAGATATTAAAAGTAACTACAGTGAATTTGTAATATTGTTATAATGAATCATTTCGAGTAAAAATACTTTGGTTTATAATATCGATAGTTTTTCGATCATCGAACATCTCTAAAACGTATAGATCGCTTCGAAAACCTGTGATCGTTCCTTTGAATGTGTAAAAAACTATAAGCGTTAATTTTCACTGTCGTCGTCTCTTTCATTTAACTTAAATAAAACAAAGAAAGGGATATTTTTTGTGTTACGGCAGTGAAAATTGTCTAAGAGAACGACATTCCATACAAACATGTACTTAGCATTTGGAACGAATGTAAATAATGTTGAAAGACGCAGCTTGCGTTGGCGTAGTTGGATTTTAATAAGAAATTTTTACAACAATAATTATTTCCTTGAAGTAAATAAATATTTAAGATTTTTTGGTTTGTTTTTTTTTACACCTAACCTTAAAAACTACAAGATAATTCAAGTCTTTATCTGTCTTATAAAGAAGAAAACGTAATCAGCTCAATATTATGTCTTACGCTTCAATGACAAGAATTATAGATGCAAGGGAGCTCTGAAAGTCATCATCAATGTAAAAAATAGTGAGACGAGTTACTAGTTTTTCACTAAATTAGAATTTTATTATATTAAATACACTGTTCGTGTTTTGTGATATACACTATGTCACTCCGGGGACGAGAATTCGAATGACACCTCTCAAAATCGGTTCAGTTGTTTAAGCTCAAGGTCATCGCAAAGGAACAAACCTTCATAAAAACACTACCATCTTTATCAGTCGGGATATAGTATATTGTGCAGTTATTTTCAATCGCTTTACTTAACGTAGTTTTTTTTTAATGTTTCGAGTATATAGTTTATTTTGCAAGGATAATGCCACACAAGATATGCAACTCAAAGAGTGTATATGCCTCGCCCCAGACACGCAGGCATTCGCCTCTAATGAGTTTAAAAACTCACTTCAACAGATTTTAAGAAGACTTGGTTTCGACGTGGTTTAGGTTAACATTTATAAAGATTTTGGATTTGCAAAGAATAACTAAATTTTTCGACGCTTCTAGGACAATTACCTTCAATCCGAACTACAAACCTATTATTTTTGTCCTAATTACAATATAAGTATGAATAAATGCTGACCCGTATTCAGTGGAATGGAAAAACACAGATTATAAAAAAAAGTATTTTCCTTTCACACTACAAAATTGTTTTTTGTTAAACGCGTAATGAGAAACGCGAAGTTCCGAGCGCAATATGTGGCTGGGGCGCCAACGTAAAGAGAAATGAGGGAGCAAGTTCGCGGGAAATTGAACGGAAGTCTCTTTGTTTAATTCTTCCCTGTAGGGACATTGAGATCTGTGGCAATACTTTCGCGTTTAAATTGAAACAATTTAACAGTATTAAAGTTCAGCCATATTTATTATTGTAGGAACTGTGTTATCTAATTATATGGTATTGGTCCCGAAAATGAAATAAGTTTGAATTACTCGATTATTGTATTATACTAAAAGGGAAGAACCTCAGGCAATTTTATTTATTCAATAAGATACAGAGGGCTTACTACGAATATTCGTGGGAACAATTTCGTAAGGTTAAAGACAACATTTTTATTAACGTTTGTGCATGCCACTTGTGGGCCAGTACAGCGCCAGTATTCCAACAAATTTCATACGAATTTCGACACAATTTTTCGGTAAGGTTACGAAGGCGTGTGTCGTAAATATTCATACTAGGCTCTCCTTAACTTGTTTCGCCAGTGATAAAAATACGCTGTAAAAAACTTATTGCGTCTTAAATAATTTACATAAAGTCTGTAAGTCAGTTTAATACCAATATGCCTAATTGAGGCAAAATGAACTCAAGTACATTATGTAATTTTCATTTCTCTTGTAAGGCATCTATTAAAATAATTTAACGAAAATTCTAGTGGTCCGTAATACCCGAGCCTCTCAAAGGTTCTCTGTGTACTTAAAAACTTTTCAGTCTTCTCAGCAAGAGCTTTGTACGAAATTTAATTATGTTATATTTCATTTTCTACAGGATTTAGGTGAAGTTTGAATGTAACAGTACAAAATTATTGAGTAGTAAATAGTAAAAAATTCTAAAGTTAAACACATCTTAAATACCGTGAGTTAACGAGATCAAAATCCCCGTTTAAAATATATTATGTTTTGTCAAAGATAACGACAAAGTTGACGATATTCTTTATACGAAGATTTTGGTTTCAGAGAAAAACAGTTATTTAAGAGTTAATAATTAAGAGTTATGAGGCTCAGACATCATGTTGTATTATAACTGTACAATGGTTTTGCTTCTCATAATGAATTTATATGAATAACTAACAATTTTCTTACAAATTAAATACTTAATACACAAATTGAAATAAGAAACATAAGAACTATATAAATAGGAATATCGTAATATACTGTCATGTGCTAACATATTTACGTACGTGGTTTAATTTCACAGCTTCCAGTCTGATACTTTGTTGACGGCACGACGCTCGAGGCTCGAGGCGACCGAGACCAAGCGCCTCTAATGAGCCGACATCTTGTTTGTCTTACTTCAACATAAACGCAAAACTGTATTATATAACTTGTCAACTCTGCTAACTATTACGAGGTTACGATATATAATGAAATTCATGCGACTCATCAGTCAGGACATTAATCTACATTAAATCTTGTGAATTAAGATATATCTCATTCCAATTAAACGCCTAAATTATGTAATTAGTGTAAGAGATGTTAGACTTCATATATAGTAGTCATTGCGTTACTTGATCTTTTAGTTATTGTTGCCAAGACAAACGGACCTTTATACTTGTTTTACTTTTAATTTTGATATTTTTAAATTTAGAATTTTTTATATTTTTTCTTCCTTTTTATAATACACAAATGTTCAGTGGCAAATAAATCTTCCAATAGTGCGTTCTAATCCTTGTCTATTTGTCCGTTTTATAATAGTTTCCTTTTCAATTTTAACTTTATTGTGTTTTTTTCTTATAACTTTACGTTCCGTCGCCTGTAGTTATTTTGTAAAAATGGTAAGAGTTAAATATTATATAGCCAATATCGTCTAGCTAATAATATCAGATGTAAGAAAAACTGTTAACCTAGAATAACTTGTAGTGTGTACGGTAAAATTTTCCGCCTTCGGATTGAATTAAGATTTAGTATATGGGAGTAGTAAATTATATTTGAAACCGCCAACTACGGATTGGTTCATCGAATATTATCATCGTATGAAACTGTCAGAAAATGTGTGGCTTGTCGAATGAAGTTTGGCTTCCGTCGGGCCCGTCACCCGGCATACATTAATGGACTTTCGCGCCATTTCCTGACACGTCCATTTTGCATTCTTCGCTTCACAATATTTGACGTAGGCTTCCACCATTCAGTAAAGTTGAAAGCTGTGTCTCTTACTTAATATAATGTAAATTTTAAAATGGTCTAGAATAATTTTCAGGAATGAGTAGAATTTATTATTTTTTAAAATTGAAAGGACGTTGAATTTTAGCAAACTAATTTTCAACTTGTACAAGGGGCTTATGATCGTTAGTAGGTACAAAATGGTGA